CCGACGCGAAGAGATGAGACCCACGTCCCAACGGGAAGATCCCCCCGACTCACGGGCTAATTAACAGCCGTCAGTGGTGGTTGCGTACGTTCGTATAAACACACCCTTGGAAATCCATCTATGTATATCACTTGTATGGCTGTAGGCAACCGAATTGCGATTCTCTTTTCGGGGTTGGATCGCGATGCTCCGACGTCGAGTCGCTTACGACGACGACGACGAACGCCACGAGCAGCTACGCCCGCAGTAAACTCGCGCTAATTGAATCGCCGGGGTGGAAGCCCCTGCGTGCCGCCTAATAACAGCTGCAAATACATTAGCATCCAATCACGATGGGGGAGTATAATTCGTGGGATTCCTGCCGTGGAATTCCCATGGTCTTGGATCGATTCGCCGTTGAATCGCAGAAGGAACCCTCTCTCTTTGCCCCAGGTAATTTTCCGCGTATATTTCGCTCCTGAACTGCTCAAACCACCCCCTCTGGTTCGTTTGATTCCGGTCGACCGAGCCACGCGCGAATACTCGACGCAATTCCGGCTTTAATGGGTGAAACAGAATAACAGCGATGGTAATAATGCAATCTTTATCGCACGGTGGGATGGAAGATCTACGGTGAGCAGAGAATTTGTACTGTGGTGAATAACAGATCTTGGGGCCTAGATATTAATTGTGTAAAAATAGTGCAGGTCGAGAAAACTTCGGTCGAAAAATCTAAGAATAGTGTTGTAACATTTTGACTGTTTTGGTAGTTCTAGTGTTAACTATTTAACGCCTAGACCCTTGAATTGTTATTTCAAAGTCATGAGATTGATATACAGGGTACCCCGGTATTGATGGTACAACCGGGGAGTGGTGATTCTACATCAGAAAATAAGTCGAAAATATGTAATAAAATGTTTTCTTCGAGGTTTCGTTTTCGAGAAAATTGACTTCGAAAATCTGCTGGATACACGTGGAACTGAATAGTATTGAACACGTATCCATAAGATTATTCCGAATAAGCCGGTACGTAAAAATCGAAGTTGAGGATTGCAAAAGGGAGAGAGTGTACGAGCGTAACCTGAACAGTATGGAATAAGAGCATTCGATGTCAGACGAACGAGGTACGAAGGAAAGGATAAATTATAAGGAGAGGAAAAATGTTTCTTAGAATGGCACTCGATATTGCTGAGGAACAGATCGTCGAGATAATACGGTTTTCCAGCGGAATGAAGTCGGCTGAATCAGGCAACGCGATCATGATTAAGTACGAACATTAAACACCTTCATTGTTCAAGGGAACGTGTAACATCGTTGTATGATTGATTCGTAGCAGCTCGGAACTGGATCGTAGAAAATTCCCGTGGGGGAACACCGAAGAATATTTAAACGTTACCGACGATGATGCATCTCTCCCGTCGATCGATATTCTAGCATTCTCCGTCTCATAACTCACGCTCGACTGACTTTTCACAAGACTGTGTACTCTCGTCCAAACCACCTGTACGTTCACCTGCGAATACTTCTGACATTTCTGGCTCGAATTGTAACACGTTGAAGGGATCCAGCTGAAGATCGTCGAAGGACACTTGGTCGCTGAAAAGTGGACGTTTCGAGGGACCTCGAGTTTAGTGCTGTTTAAAAAAACAACAGCGCTCCAGAATTTTCACGACGGCACACAGTGGTTCAGAATCAAAATTTACCAGCTTGAATGGCCGAAAACAAATTTCTTTTGTGGATGCTACTTTCGGCTATTAAACAACCGTATCGCCTGAAACGACTATCAAAAAACCGTATCGTCTGAACCGACAGTTACGAAGGGTCATGGAATCGACGACGGGACGATTGTCGGATCGAAGGGGCTCGCCGATCGCTGCCGGATCCGCGTTATCGCTTTCCGATAACACCGGGCGCGCAGGCGTTGTTCGACATTAACAATTCCGTTCCATATTTCCCCGGAGCAGACTGAGGCTGGACTTGGATTCACGTCTCCCCGGGGAAATACATTGTTAGTTAATGCGGCCGGACACCGGGCCACGTGTAATCCCGTTCGGGGATCGACGGTTCTTCTCATTATTACGACGGTCCCGACGTGCGACGTCCGCCCATTGGCGGAGCTACAACTCTGACGTGACGGTTCTGTACGCGATCGAACCGAGAAGTTGCGACCCACTTGGGCCCTTCTGGATCGTTTTAGTGCTTCGATACGTCCTTTGAAAGAATTCTGCTGCAGGTACACACACATAGAAAGATTCTCCTTGTAGTTTTTTTTAACCCTTTGACTGCGAAAGGCGTACACAGGGTGACCCACCTAATGCGAGGACCTTCAATATCTCACTTGCTTTTGATTTGCAGAAAATTTATCCCTCTATTATTAAAATGACATTTGTGGATTTTTCGTACTCACATTTGCATACAGGTCATACTATTTAGATCATTGGATATACGCCCTCATAACATGTCACGTGAATATCGAGCCACACGTGCTGATTGGTTTTAGATAGCGTACCGTAGTCAAAGAGTCAAAAAAAGTCAAGGGTTAAAACAAGGGTTAAATCATATCAGAAAAATTAAAAGAGAAACGTGACAAACACAGTATTATTCTGACACTTGTTCGATTAAAAACCATTTGTTAAAATGCGACCAACAAACGCTTTTGTCAAGCTTTCTTTTTACATTCAATGATATTAATCGTTATGACAGAATTTTCAAGCGTATATGTACATCAGTTATTCGCCGCACTCTCCCATAACCGCATGTCCGCGAAAGGGTTAATTAAAATGACACCAGCTGTGTGCATAAACGCGGAAGCACGATTCAAAAGTGCCTACGATAATCGTTCGATAATTAACGAGGACTAATTGACGCCCGACCATTCTCATCAATCGTATATGCCATGCAAATCGGTCCGCGCGTTTCGACGTAACCTGGACAGGACTAACGAAACTTCGTACGCGCTGTCGCATTACGAGCTTCCCGCGTGCAAACGAAAATTGACGTTAATGATTTCGACACCTACTCGTCGGCTATCCATTAATATCGGAATATATTTTCGGACGGTACCACGATGGAACGATGGCTGACGACTCGGTGCGATCCGCGTTGTGTGGGGTTGAACGGGTAAGATAGACGATCGAAAATACGCGACGAAGTATTAAATACGGTCGGTTTCAATTTTCCTCCAATGAATGCCGCGAAATGTTATTCCATGAACCGTCCATCACTTGTTCCCCGTTTTCGAACCAATTTTTTCGGGATTAGTACAGTTTATCGGGTTCGAAAAAAAAAAACAAAAAAATATAAAAATTGAATGAGATCTTAAAGGTGAACGGAAGTGTACCTGTTAATTAGGCAGTAGACACAATGCTAGATTCCATGTTTCTCTTCCTGAAAACTTGGAACCCACCCTACGTTCTTGTTTCAACCCTTGGCGACGCAACGATCAGACATTTTAACGACAGCTGCGCGAATTGTTATTCCGAACAAGTAATTCCGTCGATGCCCGGCGTCGAAATTAGATTTCGCGCAGGGTTGGTACTTCCCCCGCTCTCAATTATTGATAATCGATGGATCGAGTGGGCGGTTTCGTTGCTGAACACCCGCGGCAAGTAGGTTAACAAGCGTCATACATTAATCCCCGTGTTATTTGCGCATTACGTTCGACGCGGCGTCTGCACCCCCGTCGTCGCGCGTCTTTCACGCTGGAACGGAAGTAATTATCTGTCGTTAGCGCCTACTACCACCATAATGGAACGAAGAGCCAGCCAGACCCGTCATTTTCGGTTTTACTCGCCTCGACAAGCTCTGCGCAAACAGACGGATGTAACATGTTCGGCGACAATGACGGGGGAGAGGAGAGTGGGCAGAGGGTTGCAAACCCTTCTGCTCGAATCACAACGGCGCCGAACGCAATTTCCCCCGAGGACGGAGAGCGTCTCTGGAATAAGACAGACGCACGTCGAATTTCCGTGTATATACCCTAAACAGGGATTCATCACTCGACTTGAAACGTCGCTTTGTGTGACAGACATATTTTTATTTCGACTGATACAGGGTCAGTCTGGTCTTCACATTGTCTGAATAGTATCGCGGTCGAGACTGGGGACGACGTTCCGTTTAACACTAGAACTATCACAGCAGTCAAAATGACTGATTGGTACATCTTTACAACGATTATTAAAATGTTATAGCGATGTATTTTCTCGGATATTTTACAACTTTCATTTCATTACGAAACTGAAGGAGATTCTTGATGGTCTGGCCATTGCCAGACTTTTCTACTTACCGCGAAAAGGATTCGTGTTATCTGTGTTTCGACGACTATATATTTTTAATTGTCTTGTCAGGTCGTTACCTAAAGGTAGTTGCGTCACTTGCCGAGGTTATCCAATCGTTATAATAATAAATCACCTATTCGACCTTCTGCTCTGCCAAGCGTGAAAGGTCACATCCTACATTCTCCCGTTGAACGTACGAAAAGTCAAGTTCGATCAGTGTCTCCGATCAAAGACGATCAACAATCTCGTTACCGAGAAGATAGGAGGCTCGACGTGTAATTACACGAATCAGAAACTGCAGGATACCGTAATGAGAAGAGACGAGCTCTCCTGGGCGTATCCCTCGTCGAGAACAGCGGACTGAAACGTAGTTCTGAGCCTGTGTTCGACAAAAGCGACCGAGTTCCTCTCCCTCAGGCGGGAAATATTCGCGTTAAATTCAGAATAGTCCGCGGAAAGCGAAATAAATCGGTTTCAGTTCGCTAGCTGCAAGGCCGCGATTTCATCGAACCAATGATAAACTGGACCGCGCGCGTTTACCGTTCGCCGAACTACAAGTGCAATTTATTTATTTTCCTGTTTTTTTTTATCTCTCTTCCTGAAACAGTCCCTCGACAGGGAAAATTGCTATTTCGTTCTGAAATTCCATGAAATATTCATGGCTCCTCGAGAACAGGCGCCGTGAATTTGTCGCCACTTGGTCGGTGTTGTTCGTGAATGTAAGAACATTGTTTTCTGTTTCAGATTCCCGAGGTAGGAACCATTACGGAACGTCGATTTGCGTTTTCCAACCCCAGCTGACACACAAGAGAGCATGGTTTTGTTATTCAATCTTTTCCAGCATCCGTTAAACGCGCAGGTGCTTCTGGCCGACTATGAAAACCAGGTGAAACACTTTCTAGGAACGCATAAATTCCACGTTTTCATCGCTGTGTCCCACAGTCGAGTTGCGGGCCCCAACCCCGGTCGGGCGAATTTATTTCTCGTTCTTAATCCGATTAAAAAAAGTTTAGCTCGAATTAAAGTTACATAAATCAATGTTTCGGAATTAGGACTTAAAGGAATATTTGTCGTCTTCAAGGTTGAATTTTCTTGATATTATGGCGAATTTATATTGTTTCGACTAATTTGACGCACGTAGATCAACTAAATTTTTTTGAACAATGGAGTTAGAACAGTTAAGAAGTCTGGCAACGATTTATTAGAATCCGTTCCTTATAATTATCCATCGCGAGTATACGGAGACCGCGTACGCGGCATTTTTGGAATGTACAAAACGTTCAGTGTTCACCGCCCGGAATAACGCAACAAATTTTTTGTTCTTCCTGGGGCCACGTAGAGTAGTTCGAACGATGAAATTCATTAAAAGAAAATTCGTAATTCTCCCCCGTTGAAAGCGTTTTGATTCCGGTTCCGTTCCAGCGAGCGAACGCCAAAGTTTCGGAACACGATTACGAATTACTCAAGAGAGATATTTTCCCCATCGTTCGTACACTCTTATTCTGTATAAATGTACGGTTAACGGGAAAACCTGGGACGAAATCGAAAATTTCGTGGCTATCGAGGGCGATTTTATATCGATGAAATTACCGCTTGAATTGCCTTCTGTTGAAAGAAAAAAGAACGTTCCCTTCGTTTCTTATGTTTCCGCCTTCGGTCGCAGCTGTTTTCGCGCATTTCAGCCGCGAATCGACTGGTGACGATCGTGTTAAGGGTTTGTTTAATTTTTTAAAGAAAAACTACTGAACTTATCAAGTTGAATAATATATATATTTACTAAATAATATTTGTAAAGTATGCTATATTTTTATAAAGTCACACTAGCATAGCCCCTTCATATTCATCGTTTGTGATTTATTCCGTGCGAACGGGGCGCGGCCAATCAGTGCACGCGCGTGGACAGAGAGCGCTCGAGAAGGGTGCACGAAAGGGGTTGAATAGATTCGCTACTCGTTGCCGCTTCCCTCCTTCGGCCTAGTTTACGGATTCCTGCATCGGTGGAGACGAGACACGGGGTCACCGGGGCTATCGTTCCCGAAGAACTATCGGAATAACATTCGATTTCGAAAGGGATAATTGAAATTCCTACGTGAATCCTCCCTCTCCTAGAATTCTTGGTACGATCGCCGGGAGAAGGCTAGGGAGAGAGAGAGAGCTGATAGGAAATTAATGAAATGTTCATTCTCCGTTTCAATTTTAAACCTTTTCAATAATGAAAACACCCCCCAGTCACAGGCTGGTTATTAATATTAATTTAGAATTGAAAATACGCCCCGTGAACATAAATCGGAAGCGTAAAATGAGTATAGATATACATATATCTGGATACCCAAAGCCAGACTGTATTGAGTCCACTTTTTTTTTAGTCGTTTAGTTTTTAATATAACAGTGTAAAAATGATATCAAGTTCATATTTGCAATATTCACCAATTCTTACCGATGGTTTCGTAAGTTACAAGGTTTTATGTCTTCGTTTATTCGGACCTTCGTTGTCCTGAAAATTCAGTTCCAGAATTATTAGCTTGGTGTGACATTTAAAAATGTGACTCGGTTTCCTGTTTCCACCCATTTACAAACAGCGTTTCGAAGCGAACAATGACAATGTGACTCGCGACTGGGGAGTCTCTAATTACAGATGGAAATAGGACGCAATGAAAAATTCAATTTCAGCCTGTTTGTAAGCGAGGATACGGTGTTTGTGTAATTTGTATTTTACACGGTTCTTCGTCTTTCCACGGGAATTCCGACGACGCACGTTTATTGCGTTTCGGGGGATAACGAGCCGAGGGCATGATGAAACGACGGCGAAAGACTACCGAAGAATATAACAGTCTAATAATCGCGGGGGTTGTACGGGCGTGTATAAAAGGGTTTCATCGCGCCCGCAGTTAACGCTTCTAGCCGTGTAATATCCTCTCGCTCGACGAGCCCCGTGTGCCGTTTTATCAGTCGATGTGAACGAAAGGGGGGTGCGAAAACGAATGCAAGACCAACCGCCACGTTACAGCAGCGACTAATTGTAAAAGAATCGTTATTAACCCTTTGACTTGCGAACACCGCTTTCTGGTGTTCTTCTTGCGTTGTAACAAGAGACTCGGAAATGTTATAAAATATAGGTTATACAGGGTGTTTCATAATTTTTGTCGTACGGTCCTGGTAGAAAAAAGAGCTAAAAATATTCTTTATTCCGTTGAATTTTTACGGATTTGATAGTTCAAGTGTTATTTCGATTTTGATTGGGGTCAATATAATTCGATTAGGAATAGCAAATTGCGATGGTTTATAGAACGGTGCACGAACAGATAAATAAATTCGACATTTTTCTCCACAGGGAACACACGTATTTTATTTTTCAAGTGTCCGTTCCACCGAACGATGAAAAATTCTGTTCCAAGCTGTAACCGCGGTGGAGAGAGACAGTGATAAAATCCGCTTCTTATTCGTGCACAAAGTCGGGCTGAAAATTGCGAGGCAGATGGAAATACCGTTTTCCAGTCCGCGAGAACCCGTGTTCCCTTGATTGCCGGTACTTTCTAAACTACCGGAAGCTGGGGAGCACACCGAGTAGTTCCGCGGGTCGCTACTCTGAACGAAAAAAAAAAAAAAAACAAAAAAAATTGGGCAACAAAGTTTACGAATACTTCGAAACACAGGAATTCCAATCGTCGATACTTCTTAGGAAATACATGAATACTTTCATAGATTCTGTTTACTTCCGGTACATGCGGTTGGCTCTGTCATGGTTAAATTCGATTGAAAAAACAGAAAGTTGGTCAGACTCTTCTTTGCGAATATTCCTTTTGTGATTCCACTCGAAAACAGAACATTCCCCGTGAGCGATGTTGTTCCATAGTTTTGGTCGTACGACCATTGTAGAAAGAGCAGAAAAATTTCCTTTATAGATTATATTCAAATTAATTTACAAATTTCTATGATTGAAAATCAAACATTGGCTTCTGGTCGAATTGCCCCGAATAGAGTGAAAAGATATTTTAGAATTTCTAGACACACAATCTGGAAAGTCGATCGAGGTCTTTGCATATCCGTTTCTCTCATTTGCCGCCTATTCTGTTCGATTAGCCGATCCGAATGCAGATTTCTGATGAAGTTCAAGCGACGTCGTTCCTCACGAGTGTTTTCCATCACGGTATACAGCTCGATGTCGAGCCAGGGGAGTAGTAGTCGTCATTCTTTTCCTATCGGGCTTCACGCTCCGACGGTCGACTCCACTCGACCCCCACCCACCACGACGATAAACGAAATCGACTTCGATTTGCAAGCGGACGATTAAAATAGCCAACTACCGGCGCTATTAAAACCAGCATCATGGATCTTATCGGGAACTCTTTATTTCTCGTTACACTTATTTGTGGTTCAAACAAAAAGTCCAAGAATTTAGGGGCTTACAACGATCATCGAGTGGAGTAAAAAATGTCTAATCAGCATGTAAAATCAAGTCAAGAAATTAATTCCCCTGGTAATTGGCCGTCACGGCAGCAGTATTTCGCGCGTAAAAAGCATTCCTAAAGGGCGGAACTTTGAAGTCACGAACAATGAACCGTGGAATTACGGATGGGGAAAGAGAAGGAAAAAAAAAAAGAAAAACAATTCGACGATCTCATCCGTTTCCCCTATTTTTCACGTCGGAGAAGCACGGAGATCGTATTTCGAAAAATTTACCGCGTCCTCGATCGTTACGAGGCCGAGAGCCACCGCCACGCCAGGGCTTTTTTTTCCACCCTCTTCAATTATCCCCGGAAATGTTCTCGAATATTCATCGCGGCCGCATCGCCGTTGCCTCCCATTCCCCCTCCATCTGTGCATCGATCGTCCCGTAAAACTTTTATCGCCGGATAGATTCATACGCTTGGCACGGGATCGCGAG